CCCCAACTTGCCCAGCACCTATAAATCACTGCACCAGAGGGAGTTGAAGACTAAATTCTAGATCCACATGGCCTGGCTTTGACTCTTGGCTACACAGTTTACTCTATGACATCAGAAATTTATTTCTGTATTTCAATGTCTTAATCTATAAAATGAGGATAAGAGTTTCTTTTAATATTTTGAAGCATTAAATGAGTTAATGAATATAAAATGCTTAGACCAATGTCTGGCGCATGAGAGTTCATTATGTGTTGGCTATACTTATTATTACTAACACCATTAATGAGGAACAGCCCCAGAAAAACGAGCAAGTGGCAATTTCTCCACACAGCCAAGCAGTACAGTGACTTAAAATGTATTCCTCTGCTACATAAATAATAAAAATCCTGAGTGAAAAGATATAAAATACATCAAAGGGCAGAGGATTTTACTAACACAGATGTCTGCTTTAAGTAAAAAGAATCTTAAGAAAATGGACCATATTTGATAAAAATATGAATTCCTACATTAGTTCAAGAAGTCAAGTATAAAGAAGTATGCTGAAGGAAGCCAGAATTCACCAGAGACCTCATGAAGGGCCAAGGCCCACATCATCTAAGTACATGCTTTCCAACTCCCCCTGAGGGACAACCTCAGGATGTGCAACAGTGGAATGACTTGGGGATGGAGAGAATACTCCTCCCCACATCCCAGATCATGAACAAAACCTGAGTTTACAAAGCTGCGTGAAATCAAACCAGGGACCAGTGTTTTCCTCAAAATCCTGTCACCCCAGGATTTCCTAGTGCCTCTGTGAGTCTGTGAAATTCCAGTGTGCTATCTGTGGCAAGCTGGGAGTGTTCCTCATAAAACTGAGTTTTCTTCTAGGTATTTCCAGATCTTTCTTTGGGTCAGGCCTAGAGCCTTATGGGAAGGAATGTCCAGTCATACAATCAGAAGATTAAGGTGGATCCAAGCACCAAGAATACACAAGGATAGAGAGGAAAAGAGATTCAGAAGAGATAAAACGAGGGGAAAGGACAGTATGGGAGACTGTCATGACATGCGGAGGCACAGAGCAGGGCACTCTGTTGGTGAAAGCAGAAAATGATTCAACCCTTCTAGGAAGCAACTGGAAATGAATGTGATTTAGAACGCTACATGTATGTAGTTGGACTTAATAATCCAACTTCTATCAGTCTGATGATGAATCTGAAATGAAGATAAAGATTTACCTACAAGGATGAATTTTGCAGAATCTCACAGCTAACAGAACAAAATGAAAACAGGAAATCACTTAAGTGAGTAAAGGTGAAATTAAACAGACTATAGAATATTCATATGGTGAATAAGTAACCAAAAGCAACATTTTGGGAGAAAAAAAAACTGAAAACATGTCCAGTTCTATTGATCATTTAGGGAACAGGTGGCGCAGCAACTACAAATACAATCTCTCATGTATTTTTCACATTTAGGAAACGTCATTACCAGAAATTTAAGAAGGACCAATACTAGCCTGGAAATGATCTCTGGGTCTTGGGCTCTGATTAAGTACTAATTTCTTTTACATAATTCCCCTGTGTCTAACTTTCTGCAGTAAGCTGTACTATTTCTATAATCAGAAAAAAATGTGTCAAATAATTACTGTGCATGGATACACACACACAATAAAGAACATTTTAAGTCTTCATACACCTAAACACAGAGCATAGGGAAGAATTCCATTTCTCTAAACCGGATCTCAACGGGGGTACATAGAAAACAAAAAAGCGCAGGAGCCAAATCCCTCAATAAAGACAGGCTGAGAGGCTTGGGGGCGGGGGTCCCACACACTGTTATCTAGGGAATTCAGCACTCATCATTTAAAGTGTGGCTGCTTCAGCGGCTCCCTTGGTTGGAGGAATATTCTCATGGAAGGACTGGCTTTAAAAAGGTGGAGGTGCAGGAATAGTCTCTCTCTCTCTCTCTCTCTCTCTCGGAGACACAGGCACGCAGACAGAGGCGCGCGCGCGCGCGCACACACACACACACACACACACACACACACACACACACGCACACGCACAATCGTGTGGCCCCAGAGAGATCACTCAGGCGATTCCGCGGGTGCATCCTCTCGCGGTCCTCACCCACCCGCCCCTAGGCGCCGAGGTACCTGTTCCTGCGGCGCCGGACCGGGGTCGCCGGGCTCCTCAGCGTCCTCAGCGCTGCGGAGGTGCCGCGGGTGTCCTCCCTGCTCTCCTCCACCCAAAGCCTGCACAGCCAGCGAGAAAACTAAGTTATTACACCTGGGTGGGAGCCGCGAGCTGCCAGGCTGGGCGCGAGCTCCAAACCTAACCAGGGCATCTTTGTGCACCCCGACTCCCGGGACCGGCCCCCAATCTCGGAGTTGGGGGAGAAAAAATCTTAGGGCGGGAAAACTAGGAGCCTGCCGGGGAACTCCGACGGCAGGTCTCTCTCCGCAACTCCCGAGCCCAAGCTAGTCGCAGACCCCCCAACCCTGATGGGTCCCTTTCCACTTCGTGCCATCCCATGGACCGAGTGTCGCCTCTCTGTGACCCCGAGCCCCACCCCACCCTCAAGCAACGGCTTGGCGAAAAGTCTAAGCCGATCTGTGCCCCGGCTCCCCGGGGCTCGGCGCGCGGTGGGGATGCGCCCGACTTCGTAGGCGGGCGAGCTGAGGCCGGGGAGTTACCTGGAGCTGGAGCGCGCGGGCGCGTCGGCCGGGCACCAGAGCAGGCGCAGCAGCAGCAGCAGCAGCAGGCTGGAGAGCAGGACGAGCAGCGCGCCCCCGGGTCGCATCCTGAGCCACGGGCGCCACCACCGCCGATGCTGCCGGGGCGAAGCGCAGCCCGGGCGGCCCCGACTCGCCGCTCCGGTCGCAGCTGCGGCCGCCGCCGCCGCCGCCACCGCGGCCGCAGCCACGCACACCCCCAGCGTGCACGGGCGGCGGCGAGGCCCCAAGCCCAGCCTGCAACAGTGTCTCCGGGGACCGAGCTGCGGGCGCCGCGTCCTCGTTGGCTCGCGGCTTCCTTCCGAGCCAGCCCCCGGCCGCCGAAGCTGAGCGCTCAGCCGGCAGATGACGATTCTCCCAGCTCGCCGCCTGTCCTCCCGGAGGCGCTCCGAGCCGCAGCGGGCTCTGGTCGCCGCAAACGCCTCTGCTTCTGCCTCTGCCTCCCGCCGCCGCCGCGCGGGGTCACCTGAAGGTTGGGGCGCTCGAGCTCTCCACGCCGCGCTGATTGGGCTCCAACTTTTCCGCGCCGGAGCCCCGGGTAGCGCCTCCGAAGCCCCGGGCGACCCACCCAATCGCACCGCGACTCTGCTGCCTGGCCGGGTCCTGGAGCGAGGACTCGGAGGGCGGAAGAGGAGAGCAGAAAAGGACCCACTTCAAAAAAGTTTGCAAACTGTGGAGTCGCTCTGCTGGAGCCGCCCACGCGCCTCAAGGCTGCTGGGGACTTGGTGGTGGCTGGATAGCTCCTGGCACTGCGTGAAGCAGTCACCTTCCCCTGCTTAAATGCATATTCAGGGTGACAGCTGACACCAGTTACCAAGGAAATCTTTAGGGTGTTCAAACCACCGTCCTTTGGCCAAATGCACCCATGCATGTTTTTGTGAGCAGTTTTATTGGAACACCTTCATGTCCCTTATTTTGTATTATCAGTGATTGTGTGGCTTTGTGATCTATGGCTGCTTTTGTATTATAAAGGCAGAATTGAGTGGCAGGACAGACGGCCTATGGCTCTCAAAGCTTAAAACATGTACTATCTTGTATGTTCCCGACAAACAAGTTTGCCTACTGCCCACTGCCATTAAGAAGCCAGTTAACTGGAGACAAGCTCTGTATTTTGAAATCTTGCTTAACCCAGAACCTAATTAGAAATATAATGAACACCTGAGTTTCAGCCAATAACAGGCAATCAGGTTTCAGCCAATCACATACTGCCAACTCATCACAGGGTCTCCAAATAAGGCAGCTAACTAGATATAGCCAATCAGGTCATTCCTTTACTGTTTTGTGTTTCCCATATAAAGACTTGCTGAACAGAGGTCCCCCACTCTCTTCAGTTTTGAATGTTGCCTAATTCATGAATTCTTTGCTCAAGTTAATCATTAATTTTAATTTGCCTACAGCTTTCTTTTATCATTGCTGTGGACTGATGGGCAATTCATGTGTTGAAACTCTAGTCCTAGGTATTAAGGAATAGGATTAGATCATGAGAGTGGCTCTCTCATGTTGGGAGCAGAGGCCTTTGTAGAAGAAGGACTAGGGTCTAGTGGTTCAGCAAGGACTTGAGTCGGACCCCTAGTGCCCACGCAAAATCTCAATGGGGTACTGTGCATGTAACCCTAGTGCTAGGAGTGAGACAGGCAGATCCCAGGAGATCATTGGCCAGCTAGTCTAGCTGAATCTGTAAACTCAAGGTTCAGTCAGTGATCCTGTATCAAAACATGTATAGAGAGAAGAGACACCCAACTCCCACCTCTAGCCCTCCACAAGCACAGACACATTCAACCCCCACACAAAGAAGCACAGGATTTCATTCTTACTGTTTTGAGGGGTTACAGCAAAAGGCCAGCTTGCTGCCCATCAAGAAGTGAGCCCTGAACTTAGCCTCCCTTTAAAAACTAAATTTTTGTTGCAACATCCACTCAGGAGATGGTACTTCTGTTATAACAACTGTAATGGACTAGGGTAGGGACTCCTGGTGAAGATATCAAATAGTGTCTCATTTACTTGTTGCTATTTTGTTTATTGATCAGTATCTCACTTAATGCAGAACATTATGCCAATGACAAGGTTACATAGTCTGGCTTTCCAATTATTTATTTAGAAAAAGGTCTCAACTCTTTAAGTCTTAAACTTTCCTATCCACACATGGTCCATGGTCTCCCTAAGCCCCAAGCTTGGACAAAGCATCCTAAGTTTTGTCTGTCACTCTGGACTCTTGAAGAAAATTAATAGTGTTTGTCGAGAGGGTTCATTTGAATATTCATTGTACTTTTGAAAAGATGATACTGCGTCCAAAGCAGCCGTTGGCTCCAACATCTGGGGAGCACCTTCATTAGAAAATACCTTGAAGGGCCAGGGAGATGGCTTAGTGGATAAAGTGCTTGCTATGCAATTGTGAGGACAGGAGTTCAGATCCCCAGTTCCCATACAAAGAGCCCAAGAACTGTGGCAGGGTTGGGGACCCCTGAGGCTCACTGGCCAGCTAGTCTAACCAGAACATGGAGCTCTGGTTCAGTGAGGGAGCCTTACTCAAAATCTAAGGTGACCAGCAATAGAAGCAGATACCCCAAGTTGAGCTCTGGTCTCTACATACATGCACACACAGGTGAGTACACAGGGACAAACACAATCTTGAAAATGTTTAAACTATGAAAAAATACTTGAGTTAACTTATATGCATTACTTTCCTAAGTAACAACAACAATAAAAACTCCTTCAACTGGAGCCTCCTAACAGCGTAGCTTTTTAACCTGAAAGAGGCTGACCAGAAAACCTACTGAGAACAAGTGACACAGGAGACAGATGAGGCTCTCCTTGCCAGTTGTTCTGTCACAAGAAAAACAGCAGCACATATCAAAAAGAGGAGAATACAAGTATACAGCTGCCCAGTCCCCTTCTGCTGTTCTGCAGGTACTCTGAAAAGATTTGTCTGAAAACAATCAGAGTTGGAGCATAGTGGTTGATTGGTAACTCTTTGGTCAATGAATAAAACCACTTTGGAATATTGTTCTTAAAGAGGAAAAGGAACAAGAAACCAAAAATAAATGTGACTAAAAATATGATTTCTTTCTATAGCTCATGGCGGTTGTTAAAATAAGTACTAATCAAGGAAGAAAAGGCTCCTACTTTCATAGATCACTAACATTTTTAGGGATCAGTTGCTTATCTGCACATACTACATTCTGATAAGGCTAATATGATGTAGTGGGACTGGAAAGATGGCTTGGTGGGTAAATGCTTGCCATGCAGGCCCAAAAACCTGGATTCAAACCCCGGAACCCACAGTGGAAGGAGAGAACCAACCCCTGGGGGTTATTCTCTAATCTACAAACACACCACACACACACACACACACACACACACACACACACGGGAATGCCTGTGTTCACACTTTGCACACACACAATAATAATCAATTACAAGTCCACAGAGTTGGAGGTTTCTGCCATCTGTTAAGTAAATAGGAGCCAGCACAACTATCCTTGAAAGTGGACGAGTTCTCTGGATTCAGAAGATATTCTGAATTTTATTTCTGTGCAGAAAGGCTGCATAGACAACTTATGCTAACAATGATTTGCAGAAAAAGAAAAGGGCATTATGGAATCAGCCAGAAAGCTGCAATTTCACCTAATTTACTAAAGTTTAATATTTCAGCACAGCTGGGCTCAAGGCAACAGCAAGAGTCAGCCCTGCACTGGGTTCCCTAAGCACCCTGGCTGTAAGTGGTGATACTTTTTATCAAGCCAATGGTTAGAGTCGGGGGACTCTCAAAAGCTCATTTTAATTGGAAAACTGAGTGTGAATTTGCAATGGGAATTCAGAGCTGAGCATTAAAATTTGACAGTGGGGAACTTTACCATAAGCTTTATCATTTAAGACTTGTGTTTTTAAGGTATGAATTATCTTGCTTATCCTTGAGAGATAAACAAACTAGTGAAGATGGTAGGCTAAGGCTGTGATCTCAGCAGACTGCCACAGAGGGCAGGTTCTGGCCTCGCTCTGGCATAGGGGCTGAGAACGCAGGGGACTGCCTGAGAGTACCTGGATCCTGCCTCCATTTGGTGCTGATCTGAAGCCATCATTTCCCTCCAAAACAAAACCTGAGAGAACCTGAAACCTGTACCAACCAGCCTTATATAACCAATAAGGGAAGGACCAAGACCCATCAACTTAATTCTCATGTCAGACTAATAACAAAATACATTCACATGCCAAAATCACAATGAAAGAATAATAAAATGGAAAGCCTAAACATTATGTCCCCACCAAACTCCACCAGTCCTGTAGAAGATTTCTACAAGAACCCTCTAGCGATAACCCAGGACACTGAATTTAAAAGAACAATCATAAACATGATCAAGAAATTCAATGAATTTAAAGAACACATGAACAAACAAATCAAGGAACTAAAGATAGGGGTAAACTTCTGAATGAACTCACAAAACAGAAACACTGAGGAAAACTCGGGCAGAAATGAAGAAGGAAGTGAAAAACTCAATAAGCCAACTTTGAAACAACAGGGGAAAGCCTGACCGCTAGAATTGCAGTCGCCGCCAGCAGTAGCCACTCCTCCATTCTCATGGGCGCCACTCCTTTGTTCTCACGGGCGTTGAGGCTGTTCCTCTGCTCTTCCTGCGTGCCCTGGGCTGAGGCCACTCTTCTGCTCGCTTGGTGCCACCTTCTGTCATCGCTGCTTCTGCCCGGTCTCGGACAGGGATGGTGAGGAGACTGTGTCAGCAGAGCCCCATTCAGACACAGGAGACCAGGTTCAGTGACACAAATCTGCTTTATTGCAGGAAGTCACAGCTTATATAGGGATAGTGGTCCAATCACAGCACAGCAAGTAGGATACCTTATTAGCATAACAGGTTTAGAGTCCTATCACAGTACAGCAAGTAGGATACCTTATTAGCATAACAGACTTAGCGTCCTATTAGCATAACAGACTTAATGTCCTATCACAGAATAGCGGGTAGGATGCCTCATTAGCATACTGGGTTTCAGATTACAGAGCCTGGATTCCTGGAAACCACATGACCCTGACTGTTGCAATATCTAAGTGTTGCAATTT